TGTTGTAATAATGCAATGCCTAATTATAAAAAGTCATACACTTAATGAAATTATTTTGCAGTTGCTGTCCATGCACTTCTCCCTAAGGGTATCATAAAGCAATCTTTGAAATGTACTCCCTAAATCAAAATGATCTATGTTCCATTTTTTGATTCTATGAAAACATTTTATTTCAAAATCTGTTGCTAAACATCTTTTTTTTTTCTCCTAAATACCATTTTCGCCAAGTCATTAATATTTTTTTAGTTGCTTTAGTTACATAATTCAATCCTAGAATAATAATTAAAGGGTAAATTTTGTCACTTCCAGGCTGCTCAACCACGAAATAGGTAGACTGACATATCTCCTCCTAGAGATGTATATATCACGAGGAGATGTATATCTTTATAGACTGAGAGAGAATCAGAGAGTGATTCTTTTATTATAGAGTATAGGAAAATAATGCTGTGATTTTTACTTTGGGAATAATTAAATATGCTGAAAAAAAAAAAAAAAAAAATCGGTTGGATGAGGCCCTGAGCAACCTGATCTAGTTGGAGATATCCCTGTTCCTTGCAGGGGGGTTGGACTAGATGACCTTTGAAGGTCCCTTCCAGCCCTAACGATTCTATGATTCTATGATTCTGTGATCTTAGGTGACTTTTACCCATAATATTACAAGTGATAGGTCTCATACTATAAAAAAAAGAGTAACTTCTGCTAGCCATAGGTTTCAATATTCATGGGTTTGTCACTTGAGAAAAATGCTTTTAGCAAAAACCCCAGAACTGGTAGGATTTTCTATACTTCTGCAGTGCTATAAGCCCTAGCTGCCAAGATCTTAATTCTTAATTTAAACCCTATTATAGAGAAAAAACACTGCAGATAATTTTTTTTTTTTTTTACAATTCATTACTGCCTAGATACATTAAAGGAATTTAAATATTTTGGTATTAAAAAATTGAATTATAAAAAGATACAAATTATTATCATCATGTAAAAGAAGTGATTTATAATATTTAAGGTAAATGACATGAGCATACTTGATCAGAGATGCAGATATTCAGATCAGAAAAATGTTACATATATATCATTAGAAGCTGTGAAAACATCAGTATTTAAAATACAGTATTACAAGTACTTTATTTCCAAAAACCAATGCTGATATTAGAAGTATATAAAACTATGCATCACTTTATAGCGCACTGCACGATTACAGGCATTTGCTCCGACTTGAGATTGAAGAAATATCTCAAGTCTTATGTTTGCCAAGAGGCTCTTAGCTTTACATAAAGTTGCCCTCCCTGATACTGATGCGACTATACAGCCTGGAAATTGCATGCAGGTTCCAACCACTAAATCTATTTCATATCAGAACAGAAAAGTGAACTACTCACTGCAACATGAGGTGTTTATTGACTAAACGAGCCTTTGCCATGATACAACTGAAGGTACGCAGCTAGAGCTTTATTGCCACTGATAAATAATCTCTGTGAACAATCATTTCATTAGGTAAGTACTAAACCTCATTTTGTCTTTTTGCGCTCAGCGAAATTGGTGGGGTAACAGTAAGGGTAATAAGGACGGCGTCAAAGAAATTTTGGACTTGAGATATAACCGAAAGCTCTTCCTTTCATCCTTTCTCAGTGCCAGCAGCCTTTCTTCAGTGTTGTCCAGGGTACTTTAAATGATGGTCTTATAAGAATAGATTTCAAGCCATAATGAATCTCACATTTCAGTCTTCTTCAGTTAAAATTATCAAGTAGTTCTAATAGCAGTACTAAGTAAAACAGGGCAGGAAAGACAGCACTGCAGACTGGCCAGGGCACTCAGTAAGCTTTCACAGATGGCATTTAATGCAATACCGTTCACAATTTAGTTTTTTTAGATTAGATTAACACTTCAATGCATCTTATCTGCCTGAAAAAGAGGCAGGCAAGTGAGATGCCACAAAGCTGGCAAAGGAGGAGAAAGAGAGACAGCTAGAAGAAAAAAACGAGCAGTTTCAAATTACATAATTTTCTTTTGCCACAAGAACTTTAGTATCCCACAACCACAAGGTTATTTTCCTCCCACAACTTCATCCTTCATTTTCTATCATAAACATCCAAAGATTTGGTCAATACTTTTGACTTGAGCCCTGATCTTGCACACTTGCATATACATTTAAGTTTACTCACATGAGTAGCATCATCGGCTGCAATAAGACAATTCATCAAACACGTAAATCTTTTAGGATCGCTGGCTTTGTTTTGTTAAGGTGAAGCAGGATGTTCAAATAACTTTGCTCCTGAAGTTTAAGAAGGAACTTTACAGTGGCAGGAAGAAAAGAACCAGGCATTTCACAGATTGCTTAAAAGAAGTCAAAATTAATTTTTAAAAGATGCACTGAAAATGCTAACAGAAATACAGAAATAACCTTTGCTCTTCTCTATCTCTTCTTAGTGCAAACAGAAGCTGTCCATGTTCTGAAATACAGAATGTTAGAAAATTAAAATGAATCATTTCAAACTAACACATTCTTCTCTGTCATACACTGTGCCAAACTGTGCATTATTGGACTTCTGATGTGCTGCTTTGAATGATTCATGGAACACTTAACATTACAATATCTCACTGATACACATCCTGCTGGGATTTATTGACACTGTAACGTTTCTAAAACTAAATAACCTAATGTTATGCACCTATGATCTCCTGAATTCACAGATCTCAGTCCTGCAATACATTTTGAAAAACCCAGACTTGCCACAGCTGGTATCATAGGAGATATGATTCTAACATAACATTAAATTCTGGTTCTGTCTCTACATAATGTCTTTCCATATGGGAACACGTAGATACTGAAAAATTAGCTATGCACTAGCCATTTCAGAGTACTGCTTACGGCTCTGGAGGATTTGTGAAATGGCATTTCTATGGATTTAACGTGTACTAACTCAGGACAAAAGTTTGATGCCACTAGCACCAACAGGTCTCTCCTAGCTGTAATAAGGTGGTGGTGGTGGGTGTTTGTGGGTTTTTGTGGGTTTAGGTTTTTTAAATGTATATATAATAAAGTTTTCTGTCTGGGTTTCTTAAATATATTAGCCTAATACTAGCCTGTGAGAACTTTCTACAGATGGGAGCAATGAGAAATAAAATCACTGGACATCAGCAACTCTCCTAAACCCATGATAAAACCACATGACTCTCTCTCCTCTCAACCTCCTCTGCTTTTCACAATCTTTCAGGATCATCCTTCTCAATTAAAAGCCCAAATCAGAATCCAGCTTACATTGTTTTAAACTATTGACAGAGAGTCCCCCCTCAAGAGGCAGACAATTACATGCTTATAATTCATGAAAAGCATGATCTACTAATCCTAAGTAACACTATTCTGATCATGATTTTCACTTGAAAATTAAGTACATAAAGCACTGGAAAAGCAAATTTAAAAGGAAAAAAAGGAACAATTCTCTTTCTACTTAGAAAAACACAATGTACTACCAATGTATTACTTAGCTGTGACTAAATCACTTAAAGCATTTAAAATGAAGGAGTTTTTTATTACTGCAATGTTTGGGATGAGCTATTAGATTATAAATATATATTAAAGTCATGTGTTGCACAAGATAGACCTGACTATAGGAGATTCATATCTATTGCTTTTCCTTTTTTAAAACAGATCTGTGAGTTCGATCCCAGTATCTATAAAAAAGAAGTCTTTGAGTTCAGTAGATTTGCTTTACATAAAATAGGAAACAGGGTATTAGCAGCCTCCAGTACTCCAAGGACAGTTTCAACTTAGTCTTAAGTCAATGGAAATTATGGGTAGACAGATGACAGTAAGCAGCATGCAAAATCAGTTTTAAAAGTTTTTGCAAACAAATACCAGCTATTTTCTTACCATAGCAAATCAGCAGGATGCATCTCATGAGTAATACACTTCAGCAGTACCAAGTATTCGCAGAAATGTTTCCAATTAATTCAATTTAGGTTGTCATAAAATTGAAAAATAAAACACATCAAAATTTGCATAAGAATTAAACAACATTTGAAGATATTGTCAACTTGCACACATAACCTTTCCACCATTACAGCACTTACTAGTGTATTGCATTTTGCAACTACTGAATTAAAATTTGTATTGCACTGAAATAAACGTCTTGTAAAAAGCCAGTTACAAATTGCTTTAGTTTATTTGTAGCTTAGTTTATCACCAAAATATAGAAAACTTATCAGGAAACCTGACAAAACTTTAAAACTGATTGTCAAAAGAATGTGTATTTACATGTAAATACATTTTCTTTGGATGTGGTACTATCATTTAAAAGAATACACTTAATAATAATAAATAAATGCTTTATTCAATTAAATTGGTGCAATCTTATCTTCACTCTGTTAAAATCAACTTTGAAAAGAGTTTGATCCTGTCGGTCCTATTTCCTAGTGATATGTAGAGCCTGCTTTTACATGTTAAGACAACTTGAACATATTACAACCAAACCATCCAAAAACTAACAGAAATTAAGAAAACAACAGACAAACCGGCTAACCAGTAAGATTCCAAGTTTGACATGGTATATGAGCTCCACAGTCTAACTGAGAATATTACTCGAAAATTAAAAAATCTTTCCTGAAAACTGTAGAACAAAGAGGAAATGTTAGTAGAAATAACAAGAAAATAGAAAGAAAACCAACAAATCATTGTATTCAAAACAGTTGTCAGTCATTTTCAAAAGATGTTGCCTCTTCACCCTATTATTGCTTTTTGTATTTCAGAATTTCTATCATTCTAAGTTTCTTAGAGAAATAAAGTTCTTCATCTTGATAAATCTCCAATAAAACAAAAATATTATCTCTCTTGTTAGAGTAAAAGAAAATAATAGAGTCTATACAGCTGGTGGCCCTACATAGCCTGTCAACGCCATATTATACTGATTGGTTCTTCTTAAAGAGATGCACTGAGTTTCTGAAACAGCGTCAGAATATGGAAAGTTCTGAGGTGGTTTCTACTCTTTTTGTTAATGATGTGATATTTACAACAACAAACAAACTCCTGACTTAGCTTCACCTCCGTTTGCATAACCCCCGGAATCTACTCTGTTAGGATCATTCAGCTCTTCAAACAGTCCCGTTTCAATAATTTCTTCCTGCCAGGCTATAGGGATAGCACCTGTTGCAAACTTTTTGAAGAACTTCTTATCTTTGTCATCAAACTCAATTCCTCGTATTTCAGAGAAGTCAGCAATGTCTGCAACATCTTTGGCATAGACAACTGACGGATCTGGCACAAATGGAGGGTCAATAAGGTTTGCCTCTAGCCTGTGGAAATTTATTGTTTTGAAGAAACTATGTTTTCTTGGGTCATCATCTTCATTTCTGCAATAAAGCAAAAGTTTGTTAATCGGTATGATGTTTTGCTCTCAGATAGATACAGGTGTGTCTCTGTGTTGTATACATATTTTAAAGTAAGGGAGGGGAGAGAGAGAGAGAAGGAGAGAGAGAGAGAGAGATCATGCAGTGCAATTCCTTTTTTCATAACCAAAGAACGCTGCATTGCACAATATAAGCAAAGCTGAGAAGCAGAAAACATCCTGATCCCATTATTCATTACTCTACCTCTCCGCATAAATTAGTCTGGGCCAGGTGCCATCCAAGAGTTGCAGTGCTGCTTCTGGCAGCACACAGATACCCACATCCAAAGACACACTTTAAAGAGAACTTTTAAGAGAAAGATATAGCAGGATGGGGAGGGTGAGTATTTGATTTACTGTCCAACAATGAAAGTCAAACAGTTGGGTCTAAATTAACTAGGGTACGAATATCTATTAAACTCTAGACTGGGGTACATTGGGTTAATACACCTAGGAACTTCCTGTGAGGAACGACAGTCTGAATAGGAAACTGGTGACAAATAACATTTCTGGTTTTATCTGAATTCAAAGCAGCTATGCATTTACATCATAAAATTCAGTTATGTTACTGTAATAAACACTCCCAGTTTTAGTGAGTCTGTTCATTCAAATTAACTACTCTTATAACTGAACAAAGATTTTAAACAAAGATGTACGAACTATGACATTAGCAAAAGTACATGTGTCACTGTCACAAACACAATCTTTTATTAATATTGTTAAAACCCAACATTAAAATCCAGAAAGGGCTAAAACCATTGTAAATAAATATTTTAAGTACATCTTACAAAAAACAACTGCAGACTTCAGGGAGAACATTTGCTGTAAAAGAAACAGTGAATTGTTTCACTGTAGACCCATAGAGAGACTTGTAGGATATTCTGATGATAAGAATAATCTGAGCCTCAAACGCGTGCTCGTTAAAGCATTATCAAGGACCACAGCTTTGAACTGCGTCTCTATGGCACGTAAAGTTTGAGTTTTGAATTCTAGTGAAAGGAGGAACAGACAGGACCACTGTATTTTCTACACCTATATATTCTTTTTTTTATGTACTTATGGATGCACTGGTCTTGAAAATGGTAACATAGGAAAACCAAATTTGTCTGGTTTTTGGCCTCAGACAATGGTAGTTGCTAACATGTTGCTTCCCCTCTCCCCCACTTCTTTACAAAATCATATACTTAGCAAAGTGTAAGCCCTTGTGTATTTCTGCACAAAGTTCTACAAACAAAAACTCACTGAAACCTTTGGGAAGTCTTTTTATTTTTGTAAATGTGTAGAAGCACCATATAGAAGTAGTAGATTTGTGTGACTTGTACTGGTTTCGGCTGGGACGGCATTAGTTTCTCTTTTTAGCAGCTAGAAGAGCTCTGTGTTTTGGATTTAGTCTGGGATTCGCTACGAGAAGAGTGTTGCTGGCACGCAGATGTTTAGAGTTGGCACTGAGACATCAAAGACTTTTCAGCTTCACGTGTTTTGTCAGTGCGCAGGAGCACAACAGGCTGTGAGGGAGCATGGCCCGTACAAAGGGTCCACAACTCCTCTTATGATTTGAACTTAGATTTAGGATTGAGGGCCAAATCGGCTAATGAAGTATTCCACATCATGCAATGTCATGCCCAGTATATAGATGATGGTTGACGGGGAAGTTGGGATTTTCTCTTCTGTGGGACTCTCTCGATCTCTTGGAGTTCTCTCTCTTGCTCTCTTTTCTGGTGTCTCACTTGTTTGTGACTGTGGTTTCAGGACTTATCTGTTTTGGGATCACTTGCCAGGTCAGGATAGATGTTGGTCACTGGGTGGTGAGCAATTATACTGTGCATCACTTGTTTGTATATATTATTATCATTTTATATATATTCATTTGTTATTATTTTATCATTATCACTTTTAATTTTGTATTATTATTAAATTGTTCTTATCTGAACCCATGAGTCTCCTTCCCTTTTCCTCTTTAATTCTCTTCCCCATTCCCCAGGGGGTGGAGGAGGGTGAGCGAGCAGCTCCATGGTGCTTAGTTGCCGGCCAGGCTAAACCACGACAGGCTACAGAAAATCTTCATTCTTTAAGACCTTATACTGTGTATGCAGAAGAGCTCGGCCAGCTTGCCACTACTGCCAGTTCCTCATATGCTGTCCTGCCATTCTTCTAGCCTGCCTTAGTGCTAGCCAGACACAGCTGAGACATAACTACCAGCTGCCCTTCTCAGCTTCCTTTTTGGAAAACTGTCATTTTGTGTCTCTGCTGCCTGGTTCTTCTGAACGTGTCACCAGCAGCCACTAACCACTGTACACCACCATGACCAGGATGCTAAATCACAGCCTCAAGAATGACAGATGCTGCCATCCGGGCACGCTGGACAATGAAAAAATGACATTTTCAACCCAAGAGAGTCATATGAACACAATTATGAATGTAAAGATTAAGCCAACAGGGATAATGACCTCTGTACACACAGTCTTGCAAAATTACCTCCTAACTTAACTAGTTAGTGACAACCAAGTACTTGAGCAGCCCTCAACCCTGATGTGATTTATTTACGTTCACTGTAAGCTTAAAGTGCGTTAGAGTTGCTGTTCAAATTAACTTGAGCCCTGGGACGCCAGTGGGCTAGTACTGCTGACAATCCTACTGGACAGATGCACTCATAAAAAATTCACTTTATTTTGCTTTTCCTTTCTGTAACATAGACCCAAAGGACTAGAAGCCGGTGAAGGCTCCAGAATGGACTGATGCAGTGTTTCTCCTCCTGATGTATTTTCTGACACCACCAAAACGATAAAAAGTTTTAGAACATAAAGCTACAGGATCGCCATCTACTGGAACCAACTGAGGCATCCACCAGCTCACTGGGGATGACCTTGAGCTTTTCCTGTGTGAACTGAATGTTTATGTAACTTAAATAGAAAGAGCAAATGAACTCATCTAAACTCTGTCAATTTTGTATTCCTCCCTTAAATAAATACAAAAAAAACCCACACACACAAAAAAAAAAAACCCGTCACAACACTTGGCAGATTCAGGACTTGAGATGACAATCCCAAAAAACTTGAGTGGAGAAAAAAGGTTACATGCTTCTTGAGTTAGCCAGTGACACCGAGTCTTCAATAAAAGCGTGGAGTATTTTAAAAGGTCAGGTGTACAAAGCAAAGCTGTCCTTGAGCAGCTTTAACTTATGCAACAGGCACTTAATGTAGATAACTCAAGGTCTTGTTGTCCTTAGCAGAATTACAGTACTAATCTTTACATAAGGATGAGCTGTCCTGAATAGTATCACCCTGTTTAAACGGTACATGCAGGCTTTTATCCTGTATCATGCCCAGGCATGGTATACATCCCATCGTTTTTCTTCTCTAAGTACAGCACATAAGAGTAACAATATCTTAAATAGCAGAAAATTAAAAATAATCTGTGCAATTACCTTTCTACTTACATTTCTCCCAACAGTAAGCAGACAGAATGATTGTAAGTTATTCCCTTGGCAAAGGGAATGTGGTTACAGTAACTGAGTAGTCTGTTGCTGGTTTTGCTTCAGACTTCCTGAATGAACTTCACCAAGTCACTCGGAACGTCTAAATTTTGTTTTCCCCTACTCTGAATTTTGTTTACTTCACAAAATGCTGTAATCCTAAATGTCTGGAAAGCATGCTGATTTTTAAGGTAGAATACTCTAAGTGCTTTTGTATTAAATTTATTTTTAAAATAAGCTCTTTAAGCATATTAAAAATAATACAGATTTTCTATCAAACATACTATATATGCTGTTGAAAATATGTAGCCTTGCAGAGTCGTCAGGAAAACTCATCAGGCACAGAGAGTAGTTCTCTTCATTTAGTACTGGAATAGTAGGAATATGTATATTAATGATATACTACCTTTCACTAAAGTTAATTCTTACAGGCAAATGTGTGACTAACATTCTGCAAAACTATTCCACATAGTTATGAAATATAAATTTAGAAGATTGTGTGCGTTTTCGTTAAGCCCCTGCGTCTATTTCACCTTTGGACTGGAAAAGCACCTAATAGATACGTTTGTATTCAGAGGTGATTCAAATCACGGTGTATTCTAAAGACAGGTACTATCAGTTTCCTATTCTTTTTTTATATTTTTATTATATTTATTTTTTCTATGTTGCAAATGTAGATCCCCAATCTGTCTTATTAGAGATGCACTAATTATTTATATATATATATACACACACACACACAACCACACACGTCAGAGGGATCAGAGATAACACAAGTTAAATACTACAATGCTTGTCTTTCCAATTTCCTTCTTATTGAACAGCTACTTGAAATTGCTAAGTCAGGGACAGATCCATCAGTCTTCATCAACCCAAAGCCACCTCTGAAGTCCCCAAAAATGTTTTGCTTTGTAAGAATTTGTGCTAAATATTTCTTTCCTCCCTTTTCTCTCTGGGATGAGTTAGAAAACCAGAACGTCTACAAAATTTTTTTAAGGCACTTGAGTAAAGCAGAGGGTTTAAGGTCTCTTCAGTAAGAAGCCAATGATGCAGCCTTGCAAGTTAGATATCTGCAGGGAAGAGAATCCACATTGCAGATTTGGATTTTTGCCCACATCATTCCAGCAAGTGATACAGCCTACGATTCTGCATTCAGTCCGCGGCAGCATAGATGCAGGTATCTAGTTGAATATCGTTTACCTTTAGGAAAGAAAATGCAACAGAAATGGGCTGCTCCCTTCTCCCAGAACTATACACAGTCTAACTCTACAAAAGAGGGGAACTCCTATGAGTAGTCTAGGGTGAGGATGGACAATCACGCTATTGCAACAAAATTCCTTATCTCCATATTGTCTTCAAAACCTTCCACCTCTCTTTTCCTAGAGGTGAAAGGGAAAATTCAGTACTATGTAGAAAGTCAAGATCCTACTTCATTTTGTGTAATATGTAAAAGAGTAATATTGCTTGCTGCTTCAATTTGGCTTTTACTGAGTTTGAGAAGTAAGGCATACCTGCTTCCTAAACGATTCTCTGTTTTCTTGGCCAAAAACAGTCGGCAAATATCTTTTGCTTCCTCTGTAAAGTCGGCATGTTCAAATTTCACCTCATCTTCCAGAGTTCTTCTTTTAACCTCATCCTTATCGACCTTTTCTTTGTAATCCTTAAATGGTGTTCGCCCAGCAATCATCTCATAAATACTACATCCCATAGCAAACCAGTCCACAGGATAGCTGTAATTTTCTTCCTTCAGGATTTCTGGAGCCATATAACCATTTGTCCCAGCCTATTGCAAACACACAGAGAGATATACTATACAGAGTCAATAATGAAATGCATATAATTAAACATACTAGTCTTATAATTATTCAAAAATATTAGTAATACAATTTCTATCTTTTATATCTAGAAACTCTGTATAATTGATACTTTTTTTTGATCTAGAAACTCTAAAGTATAACTCTGTTTTAGCACAGGGACTATTTCTGTCTTTAAACATCTTAGCATATGGAAAAATGTCTTAAACATGCTCTTCAAAGGGGAAATGCCTGTGCAATTTCTGCCTAAAGATGGCTTCTTTTTAAATTAATGTTTATCTTGCTCTCTTCTTCCCTATTAATTTTTTTCCTGTTGAATTCACTGCTGTAGCTTTGTCTTGTAAACACAACTAGCAATCAATTTGAAAAGATCAAAAAAAGACAAAAATCAGAAAAATAATCACCCATTCCCTCCCTGTTCAGTGGTTATAACCGGTCCAACACAGGGGTCTGCTGCCAATGAGAAAATCCACATCAAGCCGGTAGCTGAGCTGCATGATGCAGTTCTCACCTGCACTCTCTATTGGTTTCTGGAAGGAAATACTACCATCAAGGGCCAAGAAAAACTCTTAAAGCCATTGTAAGAAAGTAAACCTATGAAAATTATAATTAGTAAACTACATGCATTCAGGCGAAAGAACAAGTTCGTATTTCCTAACTAAAAAAAGCTCTCTGAATAAAGACGACTACTATATACAGCACCAATGGACCCTTCTCCAAGAGAAGACGTGATCGTTCTTTGAGAGGGGAACCTGCCTGCTTTGCTCCCAGACCAGACCAGACCAGACCAGACCAGGCCAAGGATATTCACAGATTGCACAGTGTTCAAAATAGCTTCTGCTGCCTCTCTCTCTAGGGAGTCAATTCACCTGGGACGGAAGAGAGGAGGTCAGCCTCTCTCCACACTTTCTGCTGCACTGTTACACAACTGAGGACGTAAGATTTCAACTGAAACAGCATTCCCTCAGCTGACCCAATATTTCCTGCCACAGCTGATGCTATGTCTTATTTTCTGTATTTACCAGATTCAACTAACAGTGATAACTATGTCAGAAGTTGCTTCAAACTCTTTTATATCTTTTTTAAATACTGGGACTGATGAATTAATAGTATTACCATTCAAAATGAAAAATTACATTTGTGCAAAATCTCACTGAAGGTTATTCAAGATGGTCATCATTACTGCTACCGGAAAGCAAGTAGTGGCTGAGTTTTTCTCCAAAGCAAAAGAGAGTTAGAAAAGGGTAACTAAAATTAGAGTTCATTTGGGCAAATTATATTTGTAAAAAGCACAGCTCAATAGATTAATTTTATTTTATGGGATTCAGGTAACTCCTCTAATTTTTGCAGCTTTAGGCACAGTATTTCTGAGTCAATCTCCCTATAATCTTTAGCTCATTCCACTACACATTATGGCATATACTTTACTGTAAACAACATGAGCAAGAGGGAACATGTTACCATCATTTACAACATAAACCTAAACCCAGTTTGTTTTCCTTCTTTGTATTTTTTTTATACTTTTAGGGATATAGAGTGAAATCCTCCGTTTGGTTGAAAAACAGAAACGAGATAAGAACAAAAAGACAGGCCAGTTTGAAAGCAAAAGAAAAGGTTAAAAGCAAACTGTTTCCCCTCTCACTAAAACCACAAAAGCATACAGGAGCTGTATGGGCATTGCAGCAGCTGACATCATTCCACAGGTAATTTGTACTGTTTGCACTGAATTTCTATAAGTAAAAGTTAACACTGAGAGATACCCTAACAGTATTACATTTTTATATACGATTACTGCTCCATTAGGAATCAGGGACAAGTGCTCAAATATGGACCACAAAACCCAGATCCATCTGGCCTCAGAATATCACGAACCCTGGAAGGCAGAGGAGGGGCTGAATGGAGTAGAGAACGTTTGGTACAAAAGGATGCATGCACAGCTCATTGCGGGTTAGTGAACACAGACACTAAATAGGCCTCTGGAATATTTTTTGTCTTTGTTTTTTTTTTCTTCCTTCTGGGAAGCAATAAACATTCTTATTTTTACTGAGATTAAGCTGGGGCACTAATGCCTTGAAGAGCTGATGACTTATATCGTCATGAAAACGTGCCCTGACAGCACAGTATGGTCTTTCTCATAAGACATTACTTTGCTGCAATTTAGCATCACCATCCAGGAACTGGATAAGTCTGACATGGAAAAGTCAGAATTCTGTAATCATAAACGTGTTTCAAGGCAGCTCCTTTCAGACTGCCTCTCTTTCCTTACACTTGTTTTCTTTCATAGAGTCATAGAATGGCATAGGCTGGAAGGGACCTTAGAGATCATCTAAGCCAACCTCCCTGTCATGGGCAGGGACGCCTCTCAACTAAATCAGGCCACTCAAGGCTCCGTCCAACCTGGCCTTGAACACCTCCAGGGAGGAGGCATCCACAACTTCTCTGGGAAGTCTATTCCAAAGTCTCACCACCCTCGTTCTTTCTTCTGTAGTTGCTTTTTCAGAAGAAATAGTTGCCAATAACTTCAGTCTCTTCCATGGGTATTTTCCACATAACCTTCAGCAAGTCACATCATACAGAACACCATGTTTTGACATAGTACTTATGTTTTTCAAGAACACAGAAAGCAAGATCATAACCACAGACCAAAAAGACTGCATAACCACAGTTTAATAGAAAATAGACCAACAACAGCTTCCCTTCAGACTGATGTAAAAGCCTGAGGATGGGGTTAGTGTGAACAAAATTTAACCTAAAAATCTAAATTAGTAACACCGAAATCTTTTGGGCTGTTATTGAGCTGATCCAGCTCAATCTGAGAGAAGTCTAGAAACATATATTGTTCCCCTGATATGTCAAACATTCCAATTCAGAACTTTATGAATGCTCAATTTCATCAAAACTTGAACCTAATCTTAAAACAAATCTCTCCCAATCCTGAAGCCTTCCTACAATTCATAATGAAGAAACAGGTTAAGAAGCAGGAATCTAAACCTATCATCATAAGCCCTGAGATTCAAAACTCACTTAAACAACACCATTTTATAGCAGAAACAAACACATTTTACAAGTAGTCAGCAATGATGTTTAAGGGCAAGAAACACATAAACAAGCAGGGAGAAGAAATACATAAAACTCTGCAATCTTTATCAAAACGGGAATTCGAAGAAAGGAAGAAGAGAGCTTAGATCTTAATCTTTCCCACCCATTTCTACATATGCGGAGCTTTGGCAAAATCATCTAGCAAAAAAGGATGATCATTTGAGAAAAAAGACAATAAAGCCATAAGCACTTGCTGTATTAGGGAGCACAAAAAAAGGAATTATTCAGCCCCAGAACTGGAAGAACATACATTTTTCAAATAAAGATTTGATTCTGTCTTTGGGAAGTAGATAGCATTAGAGGAAAGCTAATACCTAACACCTCTGCACTAATCATTATGGAGAACAAGATGTCAAAACTCAGATCATCTTTCAACGAAGAGGGATCCTGTGCCAACATGAAAAGAAGCCTCAATGATTCAGCAGAGGTTTATTTAAGCAGGTATTTAACCAGAAACGTAGCGAAGGGAGTTTTTACACTGCACCAGTCTCACTAGTAGTAGTGGGATTTGAGTACAAAAAAAACCAACAGTGTATTAGGTAGAAAATGTACCCACTGATTCCCAAAGTAAATGTGAATCAAAGTAATGAGTTAAGATAGTATCAGCAGGCCCAGGAGTAAATAAATATACTGTAAGTTATATTCAAATGTAAAAAGGAAAAAAGGACAGAAAGCAAAGGATTAAAAGATATCACAAAAAAGATAAATGCATCATTTGAGAAGGGGTCTATTTTCCATGGGCTGGTATTGAATATTTAATCCAGTTAGAATTATCTGACTATGCCTCAGAACGGATACCTCTAAGTATGAGATACTAGTATGTCTATCACACAAAAAGATCAATAGATTTGTATGATTTTGAAGTCATTTTCACTCAAAACAATTTACAAGTAAATTCCGAAGTTATATATTAACTGAAAAACACTTTTTCTTACTAGATCTTATTTTACAGGGATAAATTTCACTCTTCTAATGGAAACAAGGAAAAAAACAAAACAAAACAAAAACAACCCACACTCAGAAAGTTGAATTCCTTTGTTGTCAACTCTACACTACCAGGACGTGCACTGGGTTTCAACTGAGACTAAGACCAAGAAGATTATTTTCTTCTTTCCTGTAGGATTCCTGATAAGACCAGGAACCGTTTGAACATGTGTTGACGGTGCAAGTGATCTTAGAGACACATAAACAGATGGAATTACCCCTTCACTGACATGGAAGCATCTAATGGGACACAATAAAAAAAAAAAACATATCACAAAGGAGTCAAACAATGTTATACTACCTCAAATTTCTTAAAGAAGGCAGAAATCATGTGCCATTGCAGAGGCACACAACTTTTTGAAGTGCAGTCAGTGCAACACTAGCTATTTTTTGCTTGCTCTCCATCTCAGACTGTCTTTTGTGATGATGAGCAGGATGCTGTACTTGCACATGCTGTCAAATATAAAAACAGTAATTACATTTCAGTCAATTAAATTTTCATTTATTTATTTTTGAAAAGGGGTAAAAGATCTACTTTTCCCTTTATTTCTGTATCTTGAGAACAACCCAAAATACAATTTTTCGATAATCCTCTAAAAAGTAATGACCAAATGTCATCCTTGGATACATTAGTGAAGAAGTTCTGTTAAGTGGAATTGTTGCTTTGAGTATGGTTGGACAGGGCATAGTAGGAATGACTCATCTGAAAGTATACAAATGTTTCTTTTGTTAAATGTGATCCTGCATAAATTTTTAAAAGGCCACATAATTATAATATTTTAATAATACAAGATGCGATCCTGAGAAGCACTAAGTGCACTCAGTTCCCAGTACAGTCAATGGGTACCTGGCAGACCACAACCCCAAGCTGTGCTTGGTTGCTGTC